CCAATGACCCCAAAATCGACACGTCGGACCCTCTTCTTTTAACTCCTATTAACTCCACATTCTCCCCACTATTTCCTTTTTCTTTTTTCTTTTTCAATTTTTAAATATACAAACTTTTTCATTTCACATTTTTCTCACGTGTGTGGGTGGATATCATTTTTACCTATAATTTATTTTCAATAACGTTTTTAGACTCCTTTTAATTTCTATATCTTTTCTGTTATTTGTTTATAACTCATTTTAGTTACTAGGACAAAGTAAGTGTTGAAAATTTCTTCTTAAGTTGATTTGTGTTAAAATCAAGTGTACTTTGAGTTGAGTGAAAGTGAATTGGAGTTTTTTTACTATTAGTTTAAGGTTGAACCTAGCTCCATTTTTAATCAATTAAAAAAACTCTAAAAGCATTTAATTGTAAATTTATTTTAATTTCACTCCTTTAATAAGCCCTTTAATTAACAATAAATCTGGAAAATTTTAACCCAACTCAACCCACGAAATATTTTTTTTTTTTTTAAATTTTGAATTTTTAACGCAATATACCAATATATGATTTAGGAATTAATTAATCGAACCACATAAAAACTTCGTATTGTATTCATAACTTTTTAAAGAAAATGAACATATATAAATGTGTATATCTTTAATATCAAATCTTGTCAAACATGACATCCACCTGATTTGATTTAGCCCTCTTGACATGACAAGTTTTTGACAAAATGCCTTGTCATCGTTTTCTTTTCTTTTTTCTTTTTTTTTTTATTTGACAATAAATTATCCGGTGGATTGCACTCATGTTAGTTGTTAGGCAATCATTTTATTTTTTTTATGATGTGCCCGGATTGAATATTAATACGAGCAAAATTCAATAATTATACTATAAATTTCAAGGAAACGATTTCAGAATAAATGAGGTAGATTAAAAATATACTAATTTTTTAATTATCGTTTTAATAAATCATATATGATAACCTCCAAGAAGACAAAATCGCACGTGAATAAATAGTATAATAATACCATGAATCTGCATATAATAACATTACACTTTCAATCATCACAATCGAGCCTTTTGAGAAAATGAAATTGTTAATATTCAACTTCTTAACTATATCAAAGTAGAATTAAAGAAGAATATAGGAGGCACCATTCAGATTTTTCCCCTAAAATTTGATTATATATATATATATTCGTTTGATTATTTCAACATTTATTTGTAGGATTAGAAGATCGACATCTCTAACGATAATAGAATATCTTATTTACTTAGTATATTCGAATTGGTTATTATATTTTTATTTAGTTTATGTTATTGACACTACTAAAACCACTTAATCTACAACATTTGATCGTCACAAAATTTGTGGAATTTTATCCGGTTATAGAAAGTCACTATGTGAACTGAATGCACCTTTGAAAAAAATTCAAGTACTTTTATTTATTGTCAATCACATCAACATTATTTAAGAATTAAGAATGGTGTGTGGCCTAATAACATTAAACAATTATTTATAAATGGAAAATCATAACAAATGAGTAAATACTTTTTCAAATCCTTTTGTTTAGGGATATTCACAAATCACGAGGGTCTTATTAACAAAAGAAGCAATGCACTCACGTCGTCATGCCCATTGGAAAAATTTTAGTTGATTGATATGATTTAGTATGTATGTTAGGGAGCGGAAAACGCTCTGGCACATGTCACTTGTTGAAGACAACACAAAGTCCGACCCAAGAAGTTCACACTAAATCAAACAACCACCGCTTGTAGTAAATTAGTTGATTTCGAAAGTTCGGAAATGGGGGTTCGAAATATCTACCTCTAACGCCCATGGCTACTACTCCGCGTAGTGTTGCATAATTTTCGAAAAAAATATCGTGGGCAATTATAATCTCGTTGTTAGATGCCTATAAATACTTAAAGTAAATCCATCGTGAGGTACACAGCACATCTCGATATCAATTTGAAAGTAATTTATAGTGAGCGTTGTTGGAATACTCATTTATCTTTTGTACGTCAGATTTCTATGAAATTAGTGGTAACACAGTAGATACAATTACAAGATAAGGGTCAAAGTTCAAATAGGAAGGTATGATTTAGCCATTCTTAAATATGATTTCCACCCATTATGTGTAAATTTTGAAAAAAAAAAAAAGAAAAGAAAAGAAAAGTAGAAGAAAAGGTCAAAGTTTAGATAACGTGGCCCCCCAAATGAGATGGAAAAAATGTTAGGAGTGCAGGTGGAAGAAGAGCCAAAAAGATTCCAATCCATATAATAATAATAATAATAATAACAACAATAATAACAATAATATTAGCCAAAATTCAAATCAATACTTCAAATCCAACTGAGTTGATGTTTTGGAGAAAGGTTCTGTGTACCCAAATTTACGCTTTTTTCTGTGTTTCGGATTGGGACGACCATCCATCCTCACTTTCCTTCAACCTTCTAATTATTTTTCTTTTCTTTTTTGCATCTCATTTTCTAAGTCACTTCCAATAATTATATGTCAATAACACCACATTTAGTTGCCTATGTCAAGTTTTAATTAATACTTGGACGCTTCCAAGTGTATAAGTGAGGAACAATATCTGCATTTGTGTGCCGTCTTTTAAATGAACAAAAAATATATATAACCCTCTTTCTCCATCAACAATTTCTTTTTCTTTTTGTTATCTACCTTTTTAAAAAACTTAAGCGAAATTTTGAAAAAAAAAATAGAGCATTTTAGATTTGGTTTTTGTTTTCTACTTTTAAAACTTAAGTTTATAATATAACCGTAAGTATTTCTGTCCATGTGTTTCCATGTTTATTATGTTTGTTTTTATTTTTTAAATTTGACTAAAATATGTTTGAACGAAATTTAGTACATATGCTAAAGTATTGTGAAATATATATAAATAAAATAGTTATCAAATGGGATCATAGTTTTTAAAAACCGATATTTATTTTTTAAATTTCACTATGAACCTGAAAACCGTTTTTTTCGAAAAAGTCAAAACGATAGGACTTGTGATACCAAATCCAGGCAGAATGGGAATATACACCTCTGGATGACCGAAGAACCGAAAGAGATGCTGGTATAATATGGTTGAAAGTTTTTTTTTTTAAGAAAAATGAAAAATATGGTAAATAAATTATAAAGAAACGAGCATAATTTTTATAATATAAAACTTAAATGAAATAATTGCCAAGGTCTTAGATTTTAAAGATAAATTATATATATTGTTATATAATACCAATGTTATAATTAGGGCTAATTTTTTAAAGATAATTTGTCTATATTATTGCATAATACCAATATTATACGAATCTCACATGCTAAATTTGAGTACATTATTTTTTTAATATTGATATATTTGTTTAGTTATTTTGTCTTATGTACATATTTGACA